GTCTCCAACTGCGGGCTCAGGCAATCCACTCACCTCAGCCTCCCAAAGCGCTGGGATTACAGGCTGAGCCACCGAACCCGGCTAATAAAGCAAATTCTTATTGGATCTTTGTTAGTATCCATTTTATATTCCTGCCAAAGATGTATTTTTAATTTTAAATCATACAGCTGACTAATTTTTGTTTATTTATTTATCTATGTATGTATTTATTCATTCAGTCCTCATATTAAAGATGTGGGGTGCAATTCAGGGTTAAGTATACAAATGTTCATTTTGCGGGGACCCTTGTTGATGAGGTGTGCCCCCCCCGGCAGTTTCCCTCAACTGCCAATCCCACCCCTGATTAATTTTTATATTGCATATACATTTAATATAATATATATACTGGTAATACATCTAGTGATGTGCCTCAAGGTTTAAAGTGCTTTCTAATAAGCTTCATGTGTATGAGAGGAGACGTTTAAATTGCATTAGCCATAAAGAGCTGTTGCTCTAGATAATCTACTTAACATTTTGGTGGTTAACTTTTAAAGTCAGGGTCTATCACCTGGATTACATTAAAATATCATACATTTTTTTTTTTTTTGAGTTGGAGTCCCACTCTGTAACCCAGGCTGGAGTGCAGTGACAAGCTCACGGTTACCACAGCCTTAACCTGCTGGGCTCAGGTGATCTTTCTGCCTCAGCCTTCCAAGTAGCTGGAATCACAGGCGCATACCACCACACCTGGCTAATTTTTCGATTTATTGTAGAGACAAGGTCTCGTCAAGTTGCCCAGACTGGTCGTGAACTCCTTAGCTCAGGCAGTCCTCTCACATCCACCTCCCAAAGTGCTAGGATTACAGGTGTGAACCACCGCGCCTGGCTAAAACAGCAATTCTTAACTTATGTCTGCACAAAGGCTGGTACATGAATGTTCACAGTACTTTCATTGGCACTGACCCAAAGTGGAAACCATCCAAATGTCCATTAGCAGTGAGTGAATAAGCAAAATGTGCTTACATCCACGCGACAGAATACCACTCCGCAGTAAAAAAAGGGAACAAGCTACTTGTGCAGGGATGAATCGCAGGGTGAGGGAGCACACCCTGGAAATGTCTGTATCCCGATTGTAGTAGCAACTTGGGGTGTTGACATCTGCCAACATTTGTAGAACTGTGAATTTCAAATGGCTGACGTGTACTGTATGTAAATTAACCTCAGTGTAAAAAAGAAAAAAAAAGTGAGAACCTTTCAATTCTCTTGCCAGGGTACGGTATTCAAATTCCTGATGAGGTCATTACTTTACAAGTTTTCTGACCTTCTGCTCCGGGCCAGTAGGAGGCAGCACTAGCCCAACAAATTGGATAAATACATTTCTGGGGAAAAAAAAACAAGACACCGCGTCAGTGTCTCTGATGTTTTGGTATCAACCACACTGTATAGCTTGCGTTACTGTGTCCGCCGCGGTAACGAGTACTTCTTAATTTCTTTAAAGAAACTTGGGTTACCAGAGAGGATTTCCACAAATTCCATTAAATTTAGTGCTCGTCATATGCAAGACACCTCTAGGAGCTAGAAAAAAAACAAAAAAGAAGGAGCTGTGTGAGAAAAACATAGCAAAATATTTAGATTATATTGCTGAATTTAAAAAGCAGCAGGTAATGAGTAAATCCAAGTCATGTGACTATATGCCTATAAAAGACAAGACTCTCTCTCTCTTTTTTTTGGGAGGGGTAGAGAGGAGGTCTTACCATGCTGCCCAGGCAGGTCTCAAACCCACAGGCTCAGGCAATCCTCTCGCCTCAACCTCCCCAAGTGTTGGGATTATAGGCTTGAGCCACCGTGTCCAGCCAAGACAAGAATCTTAACAGTCACTGTCATTAGACACTATGATATTCTAGATTTTTTAATTCAATATTTTAAAATTAAAGCATCCTGTTTTTCTGTAGTATTCAAATTTGACAATGATCAAGCATTGCTCTTTTTTTTTTTTTAGTTGGAGTCTAACTCTGTCACCCAGGCTGGGGTGCAGTGGCATGCTCACGACCACCACAGCATCGATCTGCTGGGCTCAGACAATCCTTCTGCTTCAACCTTCCAAGTAGCTGGAACTATAGGCGTGTACCACCACACCCGGCTAATTTTTTGATTTATTGTAGAGACGAGATCTCACCAAGTTTCCCAGGCTGGTCTTGAAACCCTGGACTCAGGCAATCCTCTTCCTCCACCTCCCAAAGTGCTGGGATTACAGCTGTGAGTCACCACTCCTAGAAAGTATTCCTCTTATACATTAAAAATATATATCTAAACTGGGCATCGTGGCTCAAGCCTGTAATCTCAGCACTTTGGGAGGTAGAGGCGAGAGGATTGCCTGAGACCAGGGAATTGAGATCAGTCCAGGCAACTTGATGAGACCTTGTCTCTATAATAAATCAAAAAATTAGCCAGGTATGGTGGTGTGCGCATATAGTTCCATCCACTTGGAAGGGTGAGGCAGAAGGATCGCCTGAGCCCAGCAGCTAGAGGCTGCAGTGGCTGTGAGTGTGCCACTGCACTCTAGCCTGGGCAAAAGAGACCCCACCTCAAAAATAAAAAATAAAAAAATAAATTAAAAATAATGTGTGTGTGTGTGTGTGTGTGTAGTGATACTCTACCTCAAAATGCAGGAAGTCTAATGGGGAGACAAAAGTGAAAGATTAGAAAGCAACACAGGCCGGGTTCGGTGGCTCAGCCTGTAATCCCAGCACTTTGGGAGGCCAACGCGAGTGAATTGCTTGAGCCCACAGGTTCAAGACCCACCTGGGCAACTTGGTGAGATCTCGTCTCTACAATAAAATCAGCTGGGCGTGGTAGCACGCACCTGCAGTTCCGGCAACTTGGAAGGCTGAGGTGGGAGGATTGCTGGAGCCCAGCAGGTCGAGGTGGTGGTGGCCGGGAGCGTGCCACTGCACTCCATTCTGGGCGAGAGTGAGACTCCAACTCAAAAAATAAAATAAAATTTAAAAAGAAAACAACGGAAACTAAAGGCAGAAGGATTGCCTGGGTGTAGCAGATCAAGGCTGCAGTGGGCCGTGACAGAGTAAGACCCCACTCAGAAAAAAAAAGGAAAGCTGGGCTCGGTGGCTCAGCCTGTAATCCCGTGCTTTGGGAGGATGAAGTGAGTGAATTGCCTGAGCCGGCGGGTTCGAGACCCGCCTGGGCAACTTGGTGAGACCTCATCTCTACAATAATCAAAAAACTAGCCGGGCGTGATATCGCGCGCCTGTAGTTCCAGCTCCTTGGAAGGCTGAGGTGGAAGGATCGCCGGAGCCCAGCAGGACGAGGCTGCGGTGGCCGGGGGTGGCCACTGTACTCCAGTCTGGGCGACGGAGTGAGACTCCAACTCAAAAAAAAGGAAAAGAAAAGCAGCCCAGTACCAGGGAACCAGCTTCAGAGAGTACCGTCCTCTCGGGGCCTGGAGCATAGGGGCTTGCTGTGTGGGTTTCCTGAAACCATGCGGAAGGGAGGAAAAAGTACCAGGAAACGCAGGCAGGAACAGAAATGGAGGCCCAACTGTGAAAACTGGCCTCAACTGGACAACACAGTAAGACCCCAACTCAAAAGAAATAAAGAAAAAATTTGGATTTCTTCTGTGGGCAGAAGAGAATCCTTAGGGGAATGTCAGCATGGGAATGACATGGTACGCCTGGCTTTTTGTGCGAGCCCCCTGGTGACAGTGTGGAGAATGTTGTTTTGGAGAGACTGGAGACAGAGAGGCCGGCTAAGAAGCCCGCACAACGGGTAAGGTGGGAAGACTGAAGAGGGAATACAGTGAACAGAGCAGGGACAAACTCGATAACTAACTGGGGCTTGAATCCACACATTTAGGTGATGAATTAAATGGGAGATCTGGGGAAGAAGAACAAAGCAAGGACGATTTCAAGCTTCCAGGCTGCTTACCCGAGGGGACCACGTCGGGAGGAGTGGCCGCTGAGGACAGGGGAGGGCAAGGAATCCTGTGGTGACCAGGTTGTGTTTGAGATGCGTATCGGACACGGAGGTAGAGACTCCAGTCGAGACCCGGAAGTGTGATCGTGGGCCTGAGGAACAAGTTTAATTGTGACCCAAGTCCTCAGCAACTAAAGACAGCTGTGGGGGGAGACGGTCTTGTGAGCTCCAAAGGGTATGGGGTTCCTGAGGAGTGTCCCTCAGATGGTCTGAAATAGAAGCCAGGAAGTTTAAGACGGATTCCAAGCTCAGCATGTCTTGGGCAGCCAAAGAAAGTCAGAGCGTCTTCTCTGGTTTAGCCCGAGGAATTATGATGACGATGATGTTATCATCATTAGTAAGAAACTAACCACAACATTTATTTGTTTGTTTCTTTGAGCTGGGCTCTCTGTCACCCAGGCTGGAGTGCAGTGGCACCATCACAGCTTACTGCAGCCTTGACTTCTTGGGCTCAGGTGATCCTTTCACCTCAGCCTCCGGAGTAGCTGGGACTACAGGCACATGCCACACCATACCTGGCTAATATATATATATATTGTGTGTGTGTGTGTGTGTGTGTGTGTGTGTGTGTGTGTGTGGAGATGAAGTCTTGCTATGTTGCCTAGGCTGGTCTCAAACTCCTGGGCTCAAACCATTTTCCTGTCTTGGCCTCCCAAAATGTTGGGATTACAGGTGTGAGTCACTGCACCCGGACTATTATGTTCTTGTTGTTATTATTATTTTGAGTTTCGTTTATTCTAGGGCAAACTCAGAACATCTTAGCACATTATTAACAACAAAAAAAGGCCGGGTGTGGCGGCTTATGCCTAAATCCCAGCACTATGGGAGGCCCGGGCGAAAGGATTGCCTGAGCCCGCGGGTTCGAGACCAGCCTGGACAACTTGGCGAGACCTCGTCTCTACAATAAATCAAAAAATTAGCTGGGCATGGTGGCGCATGCCTGTGGTTCCAGCTACTCGGAAGGCTGAGATGGGATGGAAGGATCACCTGAGTCCCGCAGATGGAGGCTGCAGTGGCCATTGAACATGTCTCTCCATTCCAGTCTGGGCGACAGAGTGAGACTCCAACTCAAACAAAACAAAACAAAGCAAAGCACACAAACAAAAACAACGACAACAAAAAAATGTACGTCCTCCACGACGCACTTGAAAGTAAAACAAATAAGATACAAATACAGAGATGGATGTGACATGAAAAAGCCCAAAAAGAAAAAGCCCAAATAACAAACTCCCCCGCCCCCAACCTAGGAGTATAGGGACCGTGTGTGTGACCTAGTGCCAACAGAACTAATTTGGTTAGCCCAAGTGGTTACACCTTTAAAAAAAAAGAGCCGGAGGCAAACCCAGAGTACCCAGGTGATGAGTTGTCTTCCTGTCCTCCCTGCCCTCTCACCCACAGCCTTCTGATGAACCGGAGGAAGTTTCTTTATCACTTCAAAAACGTCCGCTGGGCGAAGGGTCGGCACGAGACCTACCTGTGCTATGTGGTGAAGAGGCGAGACAGTGCCACTTCCTTTTCCCTGGACTTCGGTTACCTCCGCAACAAGGTATCAATTAAAGTTCCCGTTTCAAGCAATTTGTTTTGATTTTTTCTTTATTTCTTTTGAGTTGGGGTCTTACTATGTTGTCCAGGCCGGAGTGCAGTGGCAGGCACACAGCTCACCGCAGCCTCCACCTCCTGGGCTCAAGTAAGCCATCTGTCTCAGCCGGGCGTGGTGGCTCACTCCTGTAATCCCTTTAGGAGGCGGAGGCAAGAGGATTGCCTGAGTCCAGGGGTTCAGGACAGGCTGGCCAATTTGGTGGCAAAACCTCATTTCTATAATAAGTCAAAAAATTAGCCAGGGGTGGTGGTGTGGCCCTGTGGCTCCAGTTACTTGGAAGGCTGAGGCGGAAGGATCGCCAGAGCCCAGCAGGTCGAGGCTGCGGTGGCCGTGAGCATGCCACTGCACTCCAGCCTGGAGACAGACTGAGACTTCTCCTCCTCAACAGCGGCAACCAAAAAGCCTTCGGCCTCAGCCTCCCGAGTATCTGGGACCACAGGCAGGTACCACCATGCCTGGCTAATTTTTGGTAGAAATGAGGTCTTGCTATATATTCCTAGGCTCAAGTACTCCTCCTGCTTCAGCCTCCCAAAGTGCTGGGATTACAGGCGTGAGACAAGTACCCGGCCCAAGCAGTTTAAAGCATAACTGAGCCGGGTTCGGTGGCTCAGCCTGTAATCCCGCGCCTTTGGGAGGCTGAGGTGAGTGGATTGCCTGAGCCCGCGGGTTCGAGACCCGCCTGGAGCAGCGAGACCTCATCTCTACAATAAATCAAAAAATCAGCCGGGCGTGGTAGCGCATGCCTGTAATTCTGGCTACTCGGAAGGCTGAGGCGGAAGGATCGCCGGAGCCCAGCAGGTCGAGGCTGCGCTGGCCGGGAGCGGCCACTGCACTCCTGTCTGGGCGACAGAGTGAGACTCCAACTCAAAAATAAAAAATAAAAAATAAAAAAAAATAAAGCATAACTGTGGGTGCTTTTAGAACCCTCTGTGGATGCCACTGCTTCATCCTCTTCATGTCTCCACCATATTCCTCAAATCTTATTGTTTTTTAATTGCTTTTTCTAGCCAGACGCAGTGACTCATGCCTGTAATTTCAGAATTTCGGAAGGCCGAATTGGGAGAATGGCTTAAGCCCAGGAGTTCGAGACCAGCTTAGGCAACATAGCAAAGACCTCGTCTCTACAAAAAAATTTTTTAAAAATTATCCAGGCGTGGTGCATGTGCCTGTAGAAGCAGCTACTTGGGAGGCTGAGGTTGAAGGATCACCTGAGCCCAGGAAGTTGAGGAGGCTGAGGTTACAGGGACTCATGATTGTGCCACTGCACTCCAGATCCTGACTCAGAAAAATAAGCAAACAAATTCCTTTCTCTGTGTCCATGCACCCCAATTATACATGGCCCAAAGGGTCATCCATCCCTAGTCTTGCTGGGCGCCCGAATGCCACACCTCCCGTCAATGCCAAATACAAATGGCCTTCAAACTCTCCCCCTCCCCAGCACCTGAATGTCTTGGAAAAATTTTTTTTTTTTGAGTTGGAGTCTCACTCGGTCGCCCAGACTGGAGTGCAGTGGCCGCTCCCGGCCCCCGCAGCCTCGACCTGCCGGGCTCCGGCGATCCTGCCGCCTCAGCCTTCCGAGTAGCCGCACTACCACACCCGGCTGATTTTTTGATTTATTGTAGCCATGAGGTGTCGCCAAGTTGCCCAGGCAGGTCTCGAACCCGCAGGCTCAGGCAGTCCACTCACCTCAGCCTCCCAAAGGTGCGGGATGACAGGCTGAACCACCGAGCCCGGTTTATGTCTTGGAAATTAATTAAGCTAAGAGCACTTTGGTTTGAGAAAACATTATCAGCTCATTCAAACAAATTTTTTTTTTGAGTTAGAGTCTCACTCTTGTCGCCCAGGCTGGCGTGCAGGGGCACGCTCATGGTCACCGCATTTTCAACCTGCTGGATTCAGGCGATCCTACCACCTCAGCCTTCCAAGTAGCTGGAACTACAGATGCACGCCACCACATCCGGCTAGTTTTTGTGACTTATTATAGAGATGAGGTTTCACCAAGTTGCCCAGGCTGGTCTCAAACCCGCGGGCTCAGGCAATCCTCTCGCCTCGGCTTCCCAGAATGTTGGGATTACAGGCTGAGCCACCGCACCCAGCCCAAACAAATTTTTAAATGTGAAAAACAAATCATACCTTCAGAGTTGTTGAAAATTAAGGAAGAAGAACTTCGGATAAATGAACCGTGACTCGATTCTGTTTTCCAAATGATTTCCTTTTTCTCCGACTCACATGTACAGGCTGGTGAATATATTCAACACGACCCACAGAAAACTCAGATTTTATGAGTTTTATGAACAGTGTTATGTTTTGTTTTGTTTTATTAGTTGAGTTGAGTCTCACTCTGTCACCCTGGCTGGAATGCAGTGGCACAGTCACAGTTCACAGGTTACTGCAACCTCAACCTCCTGGTCTCAGGAGATTCTTTCACCTTAGCCTCCTGAGTAGCTGGGACTACAGGTGCACGCCACCATGTCTTGCTAATTTTTTTTTTTTTTTTGAGTTGGAGTCTCACTCTGTCACCCAGGCTGGAGTGCATGCTCATGGCCACCGCAGCCTCAACCTGCTGGGCTCAGATGATCCTTCTGCCTCAGCCTTCCAAGTTCCAGCTGGAACTACAGGCTCATGCCACCATACCCAGCTAATTTTTTGATTTATTGTAGACATGAGGTCTTGCCAAGTTGCCCAGGCTGATCTTGAACCCGTGGGTTCAGGCAATCCTCTCACCTCAGCCTCCCAAAGTGCTGGGATTATACCTGTGAGCCATTGCACTCAACTTTTTTTTTTTTTTTTTTTAATATAGAGGCAATTCCTCACTATGTTGCCCTGACTGGTCTTGAACTCCTGGACTCAAGCAACCCTCTCATGTAGACCTTCTAAAGTGCTATGATTACAGGCATGAGCCATTGTGCCCAGCCAAGATAGACTGACTGATTAATTAAATCACTCTTTTTAACTTGCTGAGAGAATGATATTTCCAAGAAACTTCTTCACCCAAATCCGTAAGCTTCTGCCTGTGAATATGCCCTGCCTCCTAACGCTGTGACATCTAGTCTTGGTGGAATCCCGGGATGGAATATCATTGGCTCATTGTTGTGATTATCTTACTGTGCAATTTTTCCTGCATCTGTATTGAGTAACTTACCTCACTGCCATTATTTGACTTCCAATCTCTCTCCTATTTGGCGACATGGCACATTCTATTTCTAGAAAGCTTTGATTTTACCAAGCTCTCTCTCTTACCTCTCATTCAAGGCTCACACCACCAACCCAATTTCACAGATAACAAAATAGAAGAACCAAGAGTTGGGTAACTTGTCTAAGTCACTCCACTAAGTGAGTAGTGGAGATGGAAAATGGGACCTAGAGCGGAGCTCGGTGGCTCAGCCTGGAATCCCGCGCCTTGGGAGGCCGAGGTGAGTGGATGGCCTGAGCCCGTGGGTTCGAGACCCGCCTGGGCAACTTGGCAAGCCCTCATCTCTACCATAAATCAAAAAATTAGCCGGGTGTGGTAGTGCGCGCCTGTAGTTCCAGCTACTCGGAAGGCTGAGGCAGAAGGATCACCGGAGCCCGGCAGGTCGAGGCTGCGGTGGCCGGGAGCGGCCACTGCGCTCCAGTCTGGGCGACAGAGCGAGACTACGACTCAAAAAACAAAAAAGAAAATGGAACCTAAATCTTTAGATTCTGGGACTAAAGACTTTTCTGCTATGCTAGGTGTTCCTGTGATAGTGCACTCTTACAATTGTTATTGCAATCAAAACGATCACACATTGAACAAACACCATATTTAAATGCTTTTAGCCCATAGCAGTGCCTATAATTTCTCTTACAACCCCTGCCTGTCTGCCTCATCAAAATCTATTTTCCCTCTTGAGATGCTCTTAACCGGTCCTCACACATTGTCCCGTCTCCAACGAGTGGTCCAGGTATATTTCCACAGTGTTACATCAGGAGGCATTTCCAAGCCATTTTCCTTCCCTTCAAAAGGTGCAAAAAGACCGGGCTCGGTGGCTCAGCCTGTCATCCCGCGCCTTTGGGAGGCTGAGGTGAGTGGATGGCCTGAGCCTGAGGGTTCAAGACCCGCCTGGGCAGCGAGACCTCATCTCTACAATAAATCAAAAAATCAGCCAGGCATGGTAGCGCATGCCTGTAGTTCCGGCTACTCGCAAGGCTGAGGCGGAAGGATCGCCGGAGCCCAGCGGGTCAAGGCTGCGGTGGGCGGGAGCGGCCACTGCACCCCAGTCTGGGCGACAGAGTGAGACTCCGACTCAAAACAAACAAACAAAAAAAAAAGGTGCAAAAAGACCAGGCGTGGTGACTCACTCCTGTAATCCCAGCATTTAGGGAGACCAAGGCAGGAGGATTGCTTAAGTCCAGATGTTCGAGATCAGTGTAGGCAACATAGTGAGACCTCATCTCTACAAAAAATCAAAAATTACCTGGGCGTGGGGCCATGTGCCCGGAGTCCCATCTGCTTGGGAGGCTGAGGCTGTAGGATCACCTGAATCCAGGAGGTCGAGGCTGCAGTGAGCTGTGATGGTGCCACCGCACGCCAGCCTGGGCAATAGAGTGAGACCTGGACTCGAAAAAAAATGGTAACTTCCTAAACACAAATGAAATCTTTACTGAGGTAATGTGAGTGATACTACTAATTTCCTCTAGTCAGTTCATTCCATCCTGGTTCTCTAAAAATCCACAGCTTTTCCTCAGTGCAGGGCAATTGCCACAAAGAGTTTTGCCTTACTACTTACTGGTGCCCTTTTGAACAAATTTCTTTTGTTTTTTTTTTGAGTCGGAGTCTCACTCTGTCGTCCAGACTGGAGTGCAGTGACCGCTCCCGGCCACCTCAGCCTCGACCTGCTGGGCTCTGGCGATCCTTCTGCCTCAGCCTTCCAAGTAGCTGGAACTACAGGTGTGCTACCACACCTGGCTCCTTTTGATTTATTGTAGAGATGAGGTCTGGCCAAGTTGCCCAGGCTAGTAATCCTCTCACCTTCGCCTCCCAAAGTGCTGGGATTACAAGCGTGAGCCACCACGTCCGGCTTCATTTCTGTTTAAACTAAATCAAAAAATAAAAATAAAGCTGTCAGAACCGCAATAAAGGCCATGAAGATTGGCTTACCCCTGTGCTCTCTCGCCAGTCTGGCTGCCACGTGGAATTACTTTTCCTCCGCTACATCGCTGCCTGGGACTTGGACCCTGGCCGGTGCTACCGGGTCACCTGGTTCACCTCGTGGAGTCCCTGCTACGACTGCGCCCGGCACGTGGCTGACTTTCTGAGGGGGAATCCCAACCTCAGCCTGAGAATCTTCACTGCGCGCCTCTACTTCTGCGAGGACCGCAAGGCAGAGCCCGAGGGGCTGCGGCGGCTGCACCGCGCTGGCGTCCAGATCGCCATCATG